TTCGCTATAACCGATTTCGTTATATCCGAATTTTTTCATATGGGCGTCTATGGGCATTCGACCAGGCAAAGGCTAGGATTTCGTTATAACCAGGTTTTCGCTATATCCGTGTTCGTTATAACGGGAGCCGACTGTACATGAGATCAGTGCTACTCAGAGTATGAATGATATGAATGTGGTCATCCAAAAAATTTTCATTCATATTGACACAATGCCAATAAAGAATCTCAATAAGAGCATAAAATTAGGACTGTTGATTGTACAGGCAAAATAGCTGTCCTCTTCGGGTATCACAAAGTTGGATGGCATTGACAAAGAATCACATTGATTCATCTTCACTTCTTGTTCTTCACTTCCAGTAACTGAGGATGATTCTCAACTATATTGAGGAGGATACCATCAATGTAGGCTCTAAGGCGGGAGTTCACCTCCTGCTGATCCTTCAGTGCTTCGTACACCTGCAGGAAACAAGGAAGGTCATGCAAGATCAAATGTAAAAAAAATGGAAGAGGAAAAAAGCAAGAGAAGAGAGGATGCGGAAAGAGTAGGTACAGACTTACGTGGTTTACCTCATCATTTGTCATTTCCTGAAATTCAGAGGCAAGACTGGTCTCCAGGCCACTCTGAGACAACAACCGTCTCCCTTCTTCAAGGCCTTTTGTTAATAGGGTTGCCTGCAGCTCTTCATTTGTCTCCCTTAGTCCTGAGAAGAGAAACATAATTCACTTTTCTCTGCATCAAGTGTTCATAAAGGAGGAAAGAGAATTGGGGAAAAGACAGACTTTCATTCTCATCTCGGAGCTTCTGCACCTCGTCTTGGAGATCTTGAAGGAGAGGATGACGATGGCATGCAGGAGTGCATGTTCCATGTCGTAAACCATTTAGCTCCTTTGACATCTCCTCCAATAACTGTGAAACAGAAGACAAAATACCAATTGTCTATTCATACTTTTTCATCCAGAAATGAGACGGACAGGAGGTGATTGAGATGTGTACCTGGTTGGAAGCAGATCTCTCTTGTCTGAAGTCAGCCTGCTGCTGCCAGCAGGCTTCCTGGAGCTTTCGATGTTCTTCCTTCAGCACAGAAAGGGCATGCTCTGATTCAGATAGCTGATCTTCTACAGATCCTTTCTCACTCTTTAAACGCTCCACCTGGCTCCTGAGTCGACTTGCCTCCTCTTGGGCTAGTGTATGGTCTCTTTCCAAGCTCTGCAACCTTTATATGGCATGCCCAGTTACTTCAAAAACTCTCCAGAATACAAAATAAATAACAGCAGCAAGACTGCTAAAAAAAAAAAAAATACTTCTTCCCCTATTCTTATAGGGCAGGGTGTTTAGAAAGTCACTCCTTATTTTTAAATTGCAATAACTTTTGTCATTTTTGGACTAGAACTATGGTTTTTGTGCCAAAAGAAGCAGAATTCAATAAGGTTTTATAATTTGTTTGTTTAAAGTAACCCTCTATGGCATCAAAATGAAATCTTCAACACTGTGTGCAAATAGCTATAAAGTATGAAGTGTGAAGGTCAGTCCCTTGTCCTGACCCAGAGGTGGTGGCAGAAAGAGAATGGCTACCATGCAGCTTTGGACATTGGACCTCCACACCACAAAGATTCAATTGAATCAACTGAATGGTCGAAGATTTGGTGCCACAGAAGGTTACTGTAAACAAATCAATGAAGTAATAAAACCATATTGAATTCTGCTTCTTTTGACACAAAACCATAATTCTAGTCCAAAAATTACAATATGTACTACTATTTGAAAATAAGGATTGGTCTTTCCAAATACCCTGTATTTTGAAAGTCTCCTGGGCTTTGTTATACTCTAACTACTTTTGATCAAGGAGCTCCCTCAAATAACAGTGTCATAGACATAAAAGGTTGCATAAAAGCACATATCCAATGGTTTTTCTCCTGCCCAGGATTCTTTTGCCCCCAAACCCAGAAATGTTACATTTCAGCCTCATCAGGTCAGTAGGCCAAGTTCAAAAGGGGGAGTCAACATTTTAGGGTCACCTACTAACCTCTGCTTTTGATAGTCCTTTAACTGAAGAACTAAATATGCTATAGCCTTGATTAAGGTGTCAATTCAATGGAAATTATGGAAGGAATTTAAAATCAGCATATAACTTGAGCAAAAAACAGTTATTTTTCAACAAAAAATGCTCATATCTAGCAAATTGATGCTTTAATCAAGGCTCTAGCATATAAACTGTAGTTCTAGAGATAAAGGTCTATCAAAAACAGGGATAAGCAGATTATCATGAAATTTACACCACCCCCACATAGCACTTAACCTACTTATCTGAAGAGTATGAAGAGTGACCTTTCTGGGTTAGGGGGCAGGAGAATCCTGTAAACCAAATTTCCTCAAAATCATAGATAATAGGGTGTTACCCATTGGTTGCTTCATCATGAAGTCACCCTTCAATCACTGACATTGAGTGACCTCATTGGTGAAAAGAATTATCAGAAATGATGTGATCCAAATCCTTTTTTGAAGTATTTAGCACAGAACCCCTCATACAGTTATCATGGGTTCCAGGCAAAGTGGCAGACCAGTACCTGATCTGATAGTTTTCAAGCTGAAGCTGTCTTTCTCGGTCCAGGCGAGCCATGAGATCTCGTCCCCTCTGTTGCTCTTCAGCCAGTCTCTCTTCACATCTCAGCTCTACCTCCCTCAGCTGCTCTTCTAGCATGTGCACCCTAAAACAACATCCAGGAAAGATCTCATTAGCAAAAGGAAATTTTTTCCCACCTTTCCACCTCTTCTTGACAGTGGACTCTCTTTGAGATGCCACTAAAAGTCATACAGCCCACAAAGAATAATATGTGCAAACAAAGTGCTGCAGAGACATCTGATCACATAGGGATGTAGTTCAAAGATGAGTAGCATAGATGGCACAGAGCCAGAGGGAGTGCCAGGAATATTTTTGTGCCAATGAGGAGTAAAAAAAAAATTAAAATCCAGCCTGCTCCCATGAAGCCAGGAGTGTAGTTGATCATACATGGACTGGCAAATTTATCATGTTAATGGATGAGACATTTGAAGACCAGCAGGAAAGGCTGAGTCTGAGTCCAATTAAATCACTGTACTCTTTGGCCATGCAAGTTGGCATACCCTACAAATAATACTCCATGACATCTTACACAACTTATGGCAGAGAATATACAGTCACATAAATTTGTACATCCAAATATATTGTAGGTATATTACATGTGTTCTAATTACCATGAAGTTTGATTTTTGTGCATCACCTGGTATTCTAATTATCATCCAGCTCATTCTCCTATTCATTGAATCAATCTCATACAGGATCATCATTCTCTTCCATCAGAAATATCAATTTCCTACCTATCCCCATCAGCTATGGCATGTTTTCCAAACTGTCCACCAAAGGAAACGAAGGCCATTTTACACTGCATTGACCAAGTCATCTTTTTCTCTATCATTATCTACTCACACAACTAGGAGTAACTTATCTGACAGTTTCCCATTTGATGTATGTCAAGATACAGTTGAGATTTGTCTCTGAAAAACCAACCCTCTTCTGCATTAATTCCTGAACTAGCTCAATGATCATCCATAAGGATTCACATTCACTGCTATTCCTTGAGAAAATTTATTCTTGGGCTGTTTTTCTTTCAATAATCATGGATTTCAGAACTTTTCCTCTTACTGATACACCCAACACAAGAAAAAATTCAATATTATGCATCCATTTTATAACTACTGATGTCCTCTATCTCCTAAACTTTTACAGCATGAGACAGAAAGATCACATCAAAGCACTTCCTCCAAGTTGACCATATTCTTATTCTTCACATACTCTTTGAATTTCCTTATAACTTGAAAATCCTACATCTTGCTTCTCTTGTCATTCAGCTTGCACAATCACACAAAAACGTAGAGATAACCACACAACCCAAGAATAGCAGGAATAATCCTTAAATTGCTTTGAAAGCTATGATTTACCATTCCCTCACCATGACTTTGGCTTTCAGTTTTATCTGTATTGTGGTTACAAGTGTCTTCAATTCACTGGAATCAATTAAAGTGTTGTTGTTAGATTGCATTCCAACTTGGACCAACATGCACTGCCTTGCTGCATATTGTCTTCATCACTTTCAGAACATCCTTCTCTTTCCCCCAAACTCAAATATAGTCACTGCCATTATTGTAATCACAGTTATAGTGATCAGCTACTTTATGTTATCGCATTTTTCTGCCCCAGTCCAGTTATGACATTTGCCATATATTTCTTGATGATATTTATGATTAGTTTGTCAAATACAGGGATCAGATAAGAGTATTAGCTATACAAAATTGAGTACAGTCAGCTCTCAGTATACTGCTACTGTTGGCCTTTACCAAATTTGGTATTTATATTGAGAGTGCCACTAAATCAAAATGCATGATTTTAAAATGGAATTTTTTTTCATGTATATAAAATATGCACAAAAACTCACTTTAATTCATCCAGGCTGGCAATGGTCTGCACCTCAGCATAAACAAACTACACAGCTTTGAAAATTATTCCATTCATTATGAAATCCAATCATTTCTTATTTTCATTGAGAATAGCTCCTATGCACCATCTGCTCACTTTACTAATGCAAAACAATGGAAAATTGTCCACAAAGAACTTTGAGCACATGCACCTCCTTGCAACAGCACACTTCCAAATTTCTTTCACTCTTAAAACCATTCTTTTCCCATCCCTGGATAGTGAACAAACTTGAACTATCACCTGGAGAAGCTGTGTATAATCTGAATGAGACATTTCCATTTTCAAAAAGAAGGTTGGATCATACAACCCCCAATCCCCAGAGGTTCATTCTAAGTCATCCTTTACCATCTGGTGATCTATCATGTGATCGAAAGGACCAGCTGGTAGCAATACATTTTGTACAGGGCACAATGATTGTGGCTGGTACAGTATGCTGCACAATATGGAGTAAGACTTATGCAGAATGAGATATTTTTTTTGCAAGTCAAGGTGTTGGTGGATGGCAGCTTGCAAGGGTGGCATGGGCTATAACAGGGGAGCACCTAAGGTAAGCCTATAGGAAAGATTTGTTCTAAAGAAAGAGTTGGCAATAAGTGAGAGCAGCATGGGTTGGGTATCAAGGGTTGACTGTAATGTCCCTTCCCCTATCATATAATTTCTTCAATATTGGCTCATTCAGAAAAATAAAGTTACAGCTAACCTTCATTGCCACCCTTACTTATTGCCCATCTCTTCCAGTGGGCAAATCTCCTAATAACCCTAACAAAGAAAATATGGCTACTTTAATTAAGTGCCACCCTAGTTACAGCATCAAAACAATGAACCAACAGTGGTATTACATCAAGGGTTGACAGGTATGGTCTTAGTTTCTATGCCCCACAAAAGCTTAAAACATACCTCCCAAACATTCTGTTATCTCAAAACTCCAAAGATAAAGAGAAAAGCTTTGACAAAGAGCAAGAAGAAGGTGCTTAAAAACTATGATAAGCTGGCAGAGAGGGGCAACAAATACTCTTGGAATCCCTCAATCCTTGCTTCACAACCTTGCTGTCTGATCAGCTTCAGCAAGGTCCAATTAAAAAAGTTCATGGAATGATTTTATTATAATTAGGGAGAGTGGTATTCATATGCACTTTGCCCTGAAATTGACCTTCAACCATCCTTATTCCCACCCTAAAGACTTGCACATACTGAGTTACAGGTTTCAGCCTAACACTTGCTCAATCAAAACCAGTTATTGCTAGTTTAGCACAGTTAGTTTAACATGGAAAATGAACAATGTATCAACATAAAATTTTGTGTGAAACTAGGGAAGTCACCTTCTGAAACTCTTGCAGTCACAACAGGCTTATCCAGAGAATGCAATGCAAAAGATACAGTTTTTAAATAGCATAAAAGATTTTATGAGGGTTGTGAAGATGAGAATGATGATGACAGAAGTGGCAGGCCATCAACTAGTGTCACTGAAGAAAAAATCAATCAAGTCTAAAATTTAGTTTGCCAAGGCATAAGATTGTCAGTTGATGCACTTGCTAAGATGGTGAACATTTCACATGGAAGTTGTCACTCCATACTTTCATAAAAATTTAAGATGAAAAGATTGTACCCAAAGTCTGCACCAAGACTGCTCACAAGTGATCAAAAGGCTCAGAGAAGAGATTCCACACAGGACCTTCTGACCACCTCTCAGAAAGATAAAAACTTCTTGGGCTCCATTATCACTGGGGATGAGACTTGGACAACCCAGAAACCAAAAGGAAATTCACAATGGAAAGACCCCAACTCTGAGTGACCCAAGAAGGCTTGCATGCAGAAATCAAATGTCAAGGTACATTCATTGCTTTTTTTGATCAAAACGGAATGATGCATTTTGAATTTGTACTTCAAGGTCAAATTGTGACCCAACATTTTGACATGGAAGTTTTGAGAAGACTATCCACTGCTGCTGCCCTGAAAAGTGGCAGAGTGGAGGCTGGTGCCTCCTTCATGGCAAAGCACCAGCTTGTGCTCATGCAGCTATCAGTCCAACAATTATTTGCCAACACTTAGACACCCTCCTCATTCACCCGATATGGTACCATGCACTGTCTTTCTATTCCCAAAATTGAAATCTGCTTTGAAAGGAAGTTGTTTTGAAGACATTGATGACACTAAGAAAAATGTGACAGAGCAACTGAAAGACACTGCAGTATTGATGCAGAAGGTGACTACTTGGAAGGAGATTCACATTAGAAGCTCAAAGGTTAGCTTTGTCTCATGTAATGCAGCAATTCTTTTAACTTTTTTGACTGGACCTCGTATAGTGATGGCAACTGTATTCAGCATGACCACCTAAACATCAAGGCTTCAGAAGACAAATACAATTCCCTCATGAATAGAAGGATATATCATTGTCAAGATGAGTTCTAGTTCCATGTTCTCTCCACAAAAGGAACTATATCATTATGGCCCTTTTGCCTCCTCTCACATGTTCATTGCAAATATGTTTAATTCTCTAATAAATTGGATCCTCTAAAGGAGAGAGCTCACACTGCTCTCATCCATATAGCATCTGGCCTATATAGAGCAATTCCATGTTACTTTTTGCACCAGTCATGTAAAAAGAAGAGAAAATGAGACTGGGATTTTAATTAATATGAAATGTTGTATTAGAATTGATTACATTTATTTGGTTTTGGCCGTATCAAGAACACCTGATTTGCTTATTTATTCTGAAGATGACATCTTTCCCTTGAACTGACCAGAGCAGACCCTGCTCAACTGAATGGAAAGGGGCTCCCCTCAAATGCCAAGTTCTACATGAAACTCCTAACCTGAAGATGCACTATAGAGATCAGGAATGCATGCCTGATGTAAGTGGGAATTTTTGTCAAGAGAATACCATACCACAGATATAACAGTCTTCTTTCACCATCTAGTCACCTTGAAAGATTTTGCTGAATTATCTTTGTCCAAGGGGCATGCCCCTTTGATTAACAATAATAGGGTAAGGGAAGAATTTCTTTAAGTATACAAAGTGAAGAGGATGGGGATCATGCAAATCATATGCAGCATGACTTAGACATCATCATGCATATGAGTTGCTGATCTGATGAAACCTGTACCTAACTGCCATAACACTCAGAGATAGATTATATTATTATTACTATTATTATTATCAGGTTCAGGAAATTTCAATCTCCAAAATTTGGATTAACAGTGAAGTTAAAATTTTTTTTAGCAGCAAGTCCTTGTTTATCATGTAGTGAGACAAATGTAGTACATAACAAGAGTTTGGAAAGGAATCAGCTGATCAACCAGTGTCACTACCATCCCTGTCACTTTGATTGCAACTCTTATCACTACTTTCTCCAAAATATGCACCATCCACCTTTCCATCACATAAATCAATCATGAAATCATCTTTGTCATTTTCACTTTTCAACACCAGCTCACAGGCAACATCATGAACACTCAGATGAGCTTCCCCCTTTGAAGCCATTTTTGCTCTTGGTACTATAGTTGTCAATTACATAAATTTTTAAATTGATTGTAGGTTTGACATGTTCCTTGAAAGTTCCAAGTATGTGCTCTAAGTGCTAGAAGTTGACCTGTTCCCTGGCAGATGGCAGAAATTGTAATATCTGCTTGCATGTGCCAGGGCAACTTAAGATGCCCATGCCAGTCAAACGGTCAAGCTTCCAAATAAGTGGGGCAGCATAAAAAAAGTGAAATAATTTTTTTAATAAATCATATACAGGGTAGGCCATATGTAAATTCACCAGATTAATGAACCAATAGTTAAAATCCCTTGCTCTTTGGTAAGTCACCAAGCCATTATAGCAGTAAACAAATATAGCCATCAACAGGATCTAAAAAAAAAAAGCAAGAATAATAAGAAATTAGTGTAGCAAATAGTCCTTCAGTAAATTTTCTCATGGGTCACCTGTATTTATACATGTAACTACACCAAACTTGACTCTTTTCCCAAGATAATCACCCCTTTCTTTATGCATTTTTACCAACTCATAATATAAATTCATTTTTAATTTCAATTATGACACTACTAAGCAAAGAAATTCTTTCAGAATGCCTCAGGTCCATTGGAAAATGACACTCCCAACAGCATATGTAATTGATCCATTTCTTGTTTCTCTCAAGAGGTCCAAGTAAAACTTTCAACAGTGCAAAGGCACTAGAGGTTTTTCTGATTGTCAATCTTGTCTCAACCAGTCACCAAGTGGTACAGAGCTAGTCTCTGTAGGTTCTGCACCAATTAGTGGACAATGTTATGCTTTTATCCGATGAGACCTTGTTCCCTTTATCCAAGAGAAGTGGGATTACAAGACGTAAAGGGCAGTTCCTTCTTTACCATGACTGTACCTCACATCTGATGGATACAAGGTAATCACAGAGAGAAAGCAGGAATGGAGCATTGAATTGCTTCCCCATTCACCACACACCAGGCCCCTGATGACTTTCCAGAATTTCTACTTTGAAGATTGGACACTTGAAAGGGAAAAGGCCTTGAGTCCAGATCTGTGTGATGGAATGCCCTTCTTCTTTGGATCCAAGCACCCTGTTGAAAAATGAGGGGAAAAGGAGAGGGAAGGGCTCACCTAGTAGTGAGGGAGGAATTTTCCTGCTTCACTCTCTGATACCGATCATCTGTGTTTGTCTGGGATTCTGCCAGGGCATTCACCTGATCCTGAAGCTGTTGAACCTGCTCCAATAGGAAGAGATTCATTCTCTTGAAACATCAACTCCTAAGTACTTAGCACTTTCTTTAAGTTATCAAGACCTACACCCCCAATTTATCTACTTTTTAAAAAGTGAAAAAGAAGCTAGAATCAACTTTTTTTCCACTTGAGAATTTTGTTCCACTGCCAATCTTCTATTTCTCTTCTGATAAATCAGAATAACTCCTTGCCTTGCAAGAATACCCATATCACAGCTACACTTACATTCCATGCCATTATAAAGTGAGAGTGGAGCTGCACCTGTAACTGGAAAGTGCTCAGTGATATATCTAGCCAGAACTCTGTGAGTCATGGGACTGAGAACACAATGCAAGCAGATAAGGATATGGCAAACAGAATACTCCCATGACGTCTTTCACATAAATTTTGCTGACTCATGCAGTCATGACTGTAGTCTTTTGCATGCCTTATCAAAGAATTCAAGGGTGCTGATGAGACCAAACAGGCTGCACATCTCAAACATTGCTTCTGAAGAGAAACCCCATATCTCAAATCATCCCAAATACAGTAAAGAAGAAGATGGATAAAAAGACAAGAATGATGCTGACTTTATGATTGAGATCAAGCACGTCTTCCTCGAGGGAGACGTCTGAGCAGTGCTCCTCTGCATCCCCGCCACTCCCTCTTCCACTGGACGTGAAGCTGCTACTTCGGTATAAAGCACTGAAAAAAAATAGCAATCTTACTGCATCATCCGCCCACTTGCACACACTGAATATGAGCTTTTTTCTTAGCCAGGAAAACCATGGATGGAAGAATAAAGGAGAGATCTCCAGAAATCGCATCAATATCAGTCAAACCAGGCCTTTGCACATTTGACTTCTCTATTTGAGGTCATTTGGAGGAACTTTGGAACTGAAAATATGGAAGTAATTCAAAAAGAGAATAAGATGAGAGGCTCACCTCGCCAAGGCACTTGAGCTCAGCCTCGGCTTGTTGGGCCTATAGACAAAAGAGAAATGAAACCTCGCATTAGATCCACTTCACGGATACTTTGTGTATGCACCACCAAGAAAATGGCTCAAAATGAATGTCATAGAGTTGCTATTTTGTGTCCCTGAGAGGTGTATATATCCATGCATATCATTTATATATCGCAAGAGCGCTTCCAGGAAGTGGGATTCTCACACTTTCATCAAATTCTATAACTTGTTTAATTAGCCACGGACGAGGATGAAGGGAGAACAGATAGACCACAATTGTAGGCGTGTGGATGATGTAGCACAGCTGCACGAACTGAAAGGAGACTGCAATGCCATCACAGCTGCAAGGTGGATGTGACTGCAATATTTCAGGTGAGGAACAGAGAATATGATTCAAGGCATTCATTGCCATGGGAAGGCACTGAGCCACGTCCAAGGTTAAAGATGTGCAAGATTGCAAAGGAAAGTTTGGCAGACAAGTTCCTCCCGGTGATACCCTCCTTGCTCAACACTACATGTCATCGAGATTCGTCATAACCCTTTAAGGATTAAGACCGTTCACGTACGGTTTCACGCTTCGCGCCTCAATTTCTCTGTATTGTCAAGGATTGACAAGACATGTATTCGGATGATTATTTGCACTTGACATAACCTTTGTCCATGCACCAGTCTAAGATCACAGATTACGAGAAACCTTTCCCTGAAAGGGCTGTAATGTATTTCCCCCTTCCCCCAGTTTTTTTTTTTTGCAAAAAAAAATCATGACATGGAAGAAATGATAATATCGAATCCACAATCAAGCTGGCAACTAGCACGGGAAACCGAACAAAAACCGAAAAATCCTTTGCAACAAGTTTCACTCGGATACATACATTTCAGCGTATCGAAACTCGTGGCAGTGACTGTCTCACCTCTGCTGGCAGAAAACCACGGCAGAATGACGACGCTTAGATGAGAGGGACTGGGGACCGTCCATAGTCATGGTAACGGAGCTGTCACACCGGGCAACTATAGCCTGAATCGATCACACACGGTAGACGGAATGGATCGGGCATGCTCCTTCACTCCCACTTACCCACTTCTCCTCCGTACGGCTTATCGTCTCCAAAGAGTACTCGCAAGGACTTTCTTTGGGGTTGCACGTGTGCGGGTGGAAAGAGAGAAACGAAATTAGTGGACCGGGGCCGAATTCGCAGCCCACTTCACTTTTTTCTTTTTCCCATTGCTCAACGGGCTGGGGAAGGCCCGGACCGCAAACCTTCTCACATAGCCCACCACTAATCACCCTAGAATCCTCTTTCAATGTACGATAGAGAGAGAAGGGGGGAAAAAGAGAGGCCTAGCCGATCATGACTCACGTACGGCGCGGCGAGGCGCAGACTTCCATTCATCCTTCATTCTCATCGTCATTGTCACGAGACATCACTTGCGACGGTGTGTCCATTCACCCCATTTCGCATCTCACGGTTGCCCTCTCGACTCCCTTATTTAACCTACGTCTTTGCTGTGGACGGAAGCCTTTCGCTGACCGGATGAACATCCAAGCGATTGCAGGCTTCATACACAAAGAATGCGATCCATCATCACAGAGATGTACATAAGACAAAGAGCTGCCAAGTTTCTCGCGCGGAGAGGAATCCAGCCATTCCTCTATGAAATGCCAGAAAGAGGATACATGACATAGCTTTCAGTCATCCTTCATACCCAAACCCTGAAGAGGAATCCTTTCTCTTCCTTTCCGAACAATAGCGAATAGCTCGGCTGCTTCATTGTGGAACCACGAAGCGTGGAATTCTCAGGAATTTTTTCTTCGCATCAGGTACTAATACTACCTATACTGTCGCCTGGTTCCCATTGAACCCAGCTTCTAACATGCCACGCAAACGTACCGTTTTCCCCTTCCATTAGTCGTGTCATGCAACACAGCCTTCCTTTCTCTTCCCACTTTATATAAATTCCCACCCCATGACGGAACAATGGAATGAAAATTGCAATGGAGCCGTTTCGCAATGAAACTGAGCATCGCAAGGACCAAGGTGACTGGGATCGGCCTGGATTGCATCACACACACACTACATAAGAATACTATAGTGTCTCGATCTTCATATGACCGCAAGTGGTTGTGAGGATGACAAGAAATCACGTAGGCATATACCAATGATGGTGCGATGAAAATTGGTGAGAGAAGAGCATGCAAGCAGCAGTAATGACCCTTAAGGCCGAATGTAAATAGAAGTACGTACGAGGGATAATAAAATATTTATGAAAGTATTTTATAGCGACGACACTCGTACCTTTCACTCCACAGTGACATGGTCCCCTTCAGAGTAGTCCCCCTGAGAGTTTATGCACTTCTTCCAGGGAGTGTACAGTCGTCGCGCGTACGTCACCAGGCCGTCCTTTCCAAGGGTCCGCAGCTCACTTGTCATGGAACTCATGATTTGCATTCCGATCAAAGGATCCGTGGCCCTTCAACATGAATAGGAGACGGCGGAAGAGGTAAAAGTCGCAAGGCATCAAGTCTGGTGAATATAATAGATGGCTGATGGGTGCGATTTGAGTGGCGTGCCACAAAGCCGGACGCAACGAAGACGCATGCGCGACTGCTTGGTCCTGTTGCAGCAGTCATTTTCAGGGAGAAACTTTTTTTGGCATACCACATAACACTAACATCAGCAGTTCATCCTATTAGCCGAACATGGCACCGTGCGACTTTCACCTCTTCCCGCGGCTCCGTCCCATGATGAAGGCAGAAAGAGTCACCGATCTGGATGCAATCATGAGTGTCAAACAGGGCCGGATTAAGGGGGGGGGGGGGGCCGTTGCCCCGGGCCCCGCTCTTCCAGGGGGCCCCCGAAGGAAATTAAAAACGTTAAGTATTTGTCATGAGTGTAAAACGGGGCCGGATTAAGGGGGGGGGGGGCCGTTGCCCCGGGCCCCGCTCTTCCAGGGGGCCCCCGAAGGAAATTAAAAACGTTAAGTATTTGCGTAAAGTGGGGATGGGGGGGGGGGGTTGCCCCGGGCCTCGCAACTTCTTAATCCGACCCTGGTGTCAAGGGATACGCGGGCTTTGCAAAGACGGACTGCGGGCGTACACGCAACAACTTACAACAGCTGGAAGAAGTGCATAAATCCATAGAAGGACTACTTTGCTGGGAACCACGTCCCCGTAAAAAAAAAAATAATAATAATAATAAAATAATAATAAAAGAAAAAAAAAGTATATTTCAGCAACTCTTAGACATATCCTCCAAGTAAAGTAGTTTCTGACGTAAAAACTATCCCAATTCAGACCTGACCACACATGAACCGCGAACAAATTTATTTTGAGAGCGAACTAGGATAGGACGAGTACGAACTACCTCGAAACTACGGTGGTTACTTATGTGTCAACCATACCCCACGAAGTTGTAAATGCAGGGTGTCCCATAATACAAATTAGAATTTCAAAAGCTAATATTTTCCAAGCTACTGAAAGCAAGTTGATGCAATTAGCATCGATGGATGGCTGGTTATTTAGATTTTTTTTCAAACACAAACAAGACATTGGGGCAAAATTTAATTGTTATTAATGCATTTTTAGAAGAGTCCTCTTTTTCAAAGTAATTTTATGTAAATTTCCGAGACCTCTCCAGGATATTACTAAGATCCCGCACTTTTATTTTCAATTTTGGGTAAAATTAAGATTGTGAAGGAGAAGTAAATATATAGTAGGGTAAAGGCACCAGTTTGTGGGCAAGTTAAGGTTAATTGCGTTATGGTCATTGGGGTAACCGAGAAACCGCTTGATTGGTTTCAAAGGGAGGCCACTTATCATAGTTTGATGCCCATACCCTAAAATAACATATTAAAAATATACTTTTCCATTAATCACTGTTTAAGTAAATGTGTTGATTTTCACGTGGTTCCTATTTGTGACGGCCTTGTTTCAGTTTGTGGACATCCATGGACATAGTTTGTGAACACCTGTTTTTGTTAACAATTATGAACGTGCGTTGGTTGAATATAAAAATATGGGCATGAGACATGTACAGCAATTATATTTATCTTCAATGATGTCCTGTTAAGAAACATCATTGGAAAAATTAAGGAATTCAGGGGTGCTAGGTCTAAAACAGAGAAAACGTCCAAGTTCACTCGTGCTGATGGGTATGTATAATTTATATGGCGGCTGACAGGCAAGTGAAAAATTTGAAGAAATACATTTTTGGTGAATTTTGCGAAATCCCAAAAAACGCAAAACTGTCCACAAATAGGCGCCCGTCCACACACTGGTGCCTCTACCCTATCTGAATTTCGTCTGCTGTCATGCATGATGCTAAAATGGCTTGACAATTGACATTGGAACAAGGAAGAGAAGTTATGATCCAAATGAAAGCTAGAGGACCGGATTTGAGCTGATATTGTAGCTTTTGCCACACACATTCTGGAGAGGGCCTCGTGTGCAGTTAAATGTTTTAATTGTTGCTTCAATCTTCAATTTCTGAGCAATTTTTTACAACAGCAAAGCAAAAATTCAGACACAATTTCCTTCAAAATGTCAACTTAACCAAAAATGGAAAAGAAAAAAGCATGAGGGGTATCAACGATATCTTGAAAAAGTTTCTGGGAACTTCAAGAAAATTACTTTGTAAAGGAGGACTCGTCTTAAAAAGTATAAAATAAAAATTGCATCAACCAGCTTTCAGTAGCTTTGGAAATGATAACGTGAATTATAGGACACCCTGTATATTGATTGATAACGATCCAGACTTGAGGATTCTTGCTGGACTCTCAACAAAATCTCTCTGAGAAATGGCAAGATATAAACGGAGCAAATACGATTCATATTAACCTTCATTGTACAGAATTTTTAAATACTTTGGTCCCCTCATGGCAAGAAATTAATTTCACCCTTTTGAACCACAAAGGTTTGACAATTATATCATTTGTTTGCATTAGAAGCCAACCCAAGGACCAGAAGAGCTTGTTGATATGACACGTGTATAGTGTTAGATATGCAACATTTGTGTGATAAAAGTTAACAATAAATAAGTCCATGATGCTAAAATGTGCTCCATTTGGAAGAAGTTGGTGAGGAGAATGTATACAAAAAATAGATCAATGCATTTTTGTGAGCATTCAATGCATACAGGCCAATGAATTAGGGAAAAAAACCAAAGCAACCAATGTTGTCTGCTGGGCAAAAGAAAGCTCTTTTACATGTTTTCATGATTCATTTATCTAACCTCAATGTTTGTTATAACATTTTTGCAGCTGAATATATCCCAACAATTTTCAATGCTATTTATCAACCAGATTTTCTTTGAAATGCAGACAAATACTCCATTAACATCCAACAGCATGAATAAAGCTGGCAACTAAATATAATTTATTTTCTTATTAATAAATTCTTCTATTCATATTTAATACATATGAGATTTAGGGAATAAAGGAGCAGAATGAAGGACTCACACTCGGAGGGATCCACAACGTCGATGTGGAGAATCCAATGCAGATCTAAAAAGCAATGAAACAAACACATTAACCTCTATGCTTAGGAGCAAAGGATGCATTAACACATTATCTGTTCATTTCAATAGTGTGGAAGACAATTCAGGTAGTACCAGATATCAGCATGCCAAATTACTTTTTTTAATTCATGAGAAACTTCCTAATGTGGCATTGAACAGAGAAGCTAATATATACCCCTGAAGGCTCTTCATCAGACCCCACAGATACATCTGGATTTTCAAAGCACCCTCATGCCACATGCTTTTATGCATGCAATCTATTTTTTTAATACCAAGTCTACAGACTTGATATGGAGCTAAAAAGCCATAATAAACTTAGAACAATAAATGCAAGACCTTATGTACTTTTCAGCAAATGAAAGACCTTAAGTACTTTCTAGCAGGAAACCTTCAGGTAACTGACCCCATCCTTACACATAACCCTAATTACCACAATCTAAAAAAATATGCAATGCCCTGCATAAATTTTTTAAACTTAAACTGCTGCAATCCTGAAACTTTATAACTATGCAAGTGGAATCAGATTTCTTTAAAGGTGACCTGATTCCCAATTTCTCAAATTTCCAAGGATCATCAGTTTCATGTAACTCATACCAGTATGAGTATCTGTCTCAGGGTGTTACTTCAGTATTAAAGCCCAAGTGAATGAGGTGAATGTGCATCCTCAGGAAGGCCTCAAAAAAAATATTCAGAGAAAAATCCAAGACATACACAAAGGGCTTGGAAATAGCTGAGCAAAAACCCCTTTTTCCCATTTCCCAGGTAAAAACCAAAGCAAACAATTGGCAAGTATGGAAAATGATTCAAAGTTGCTAAAATTAATAATAAAACTCTATGCTTTCTGAATTGCTAAAGACACTAAGAATGCACAAACCTCATTTAGGCAAGGTAAAGGGACCTTTAACCAAAGAGCTCTTCTTCCCCCATAGGAGTCCATATATTTTTAAAGGACTGCTAACTAAAGGAGGTTTCAGCATTGAGGCTGTAATATCACATTCTTGCCCAATGGCAATTTTGAGGAAGTGGCTAAGAGAGTTGACAATTTTTTTCGACAATTTTTAGAGAGAAACAAGGAATATCAATGGGCATTTGCCCTACTTAGCTTAGAAATTAGGAAATGACAGACAACATTAGGAGTAGAGAAAACTCCATCTGCCCTTGGTGCAAGAAGGAGAAGACTAAGGGTGGATTTTTGAACAGAGAACTATCCGATAATGCAGCTTTATTTACCGGATTTACAATGCATTTTCTCTGAAATAAAGCAGCATTATCGGATAATGCTCTGTTCAAAAATCCACCCTAAGTTACATGTACTTTGAGAATGTGAGGGATATGAAGACCTAAAAATAAAATATCCCATAAATTGGAGCCCCAATGTGACAACGAAGATAGATTGACCTTCATTATGGAATAAAAGGGAAGTTTGTCTCCCTCTTGCAGGAAATTAGGATAAGAGAAAATAAAAGCATACCCATGTGAAAGAAACAGAGAGTGATAGCCATGTAACTCTCATATTTTACTCAAAAACATAATGTTTTAAACAGAGCTTTGAAGTGCTTTATTATTTAATGAAGCAAAGAAATAAATATCATTATCACTTCCAAGTATTAAATAGAAGATCTAAAGACCCCTGGCCTGACCACCATAAGCAGGTTTAATAAGTTTTTTCATGAGAATGTCACATCATTATCATAAGAAAAGTTTTCTCACACAACTAACAAAGCTCAAGAATGAAATAGAATGTGTATTGAATAAAAATGTATGAAATAGCAACAAAGGACATAGGCTAGAATGTACAGGGTGTCCCATAAGTCCCTCTACCCTAGTTTTTTTTCAGGTGAATCACAGGAGGATTTGTGAAGATGGCAGAAGATATGAGCAACCAAAGCCCCTTTACATTGTTGAACAAGTGTTTTAAATGTCACAATAAATATAAAAATACACAAATAACTAATTGCATCAATTTCATTTTGCTACCCTATTCTACTAGGAAAAGGTTCAGGGGTAAAAGGACTTATAGGACACCCTGTACATTATGCATTAAACATCCCAACAAGAGTTAACATGAACCTTCAAGTACCTCAATTTTCCTCCACCTCTCCCATTCCCATCTCACTCCTCCAGGGAGTACAGTGTACACTAACAACAAGCCTGCATTAAGGACGATGGCACAATCCATTTTTAATTTTTACTTGGTGCACATTCTGCTTAGTATTTTTCAGGTTTCATTATCCATAACAGATTTAAAAAATTCAGATCTCCATGCTATCATGATGTAAAGTTGTAGTGATTAACTGTCCCATTCAGGAGAAGCAGATTCAAACCAAGTCTTTTTGGAGTACCCAGTAGTCAAATTAGATGGCTTCAGTTAAGCACCTTAGGCTGCTTAGCCACTCCAATGAAAATAAATTATGAAAAATTAAAATGTGAAATTTATTGAAGAGATGATTTAATACCAATCTGAATGGCATATAAAGACACCCATAGAATTACACCAAAAAATTCCAGCACAAATCCCCAGCTCCCCAATCAAATTCACACAAATTATAAGACTCACCTTGGAGGGGTACGTCGTAGGGAAGTCCGAAGCCAAGAATTTCTATTTGGGAATGACCGGAAGGCATCTGGAGACCTGAAGAGAGGAAGAAAAATGATCAATGAACTATAAGATTAATCCATTTTTGAAGAGATTCACATTTCCCCATGGTATATCAATCTTTCACATACTGGTGTTCCAGCAAAATCACAATGCGAGTCAACATGTATCAAGGTCTGAAAAGGAAGTTTACAAAATGTTATTAAGTATGCCAATGAAGCTTAGCCATCAATCTTGAGAGACAGTTAGCCCTATTTGAGATGCAGCTGGCTATGACTTAGCACCACACCTTAATAAATACATTGCAATTGGCATTAAATTGACATGCATACATTGTAATTGGACCCTTACAGAAATATGAAACCATGACAGTGGCCATGATGATGGGGTGAACATGGCTAAGTGAAGTCCAACATTGGTTAGATAATATTAATAAGTTCCCCTTCTGCATGTGACAAGCATGAGAAAATTGTAATACTTCCCTCTCCTACAACAAGGAAAGCAAATTCTCTAATGCAGAGGTTGGCAACCTACAGCCCGCTGGCCAGATCTGGCATGCCAAGCATGCCAAGAAAAGAGGATATTTATTTTATATTTCATTTATTCATTTCAAAGCCTTGTACTCCCTCCTCCAGGCAGATCAGCACCACAATCATAAACTCTGGCCTGCCATAGGGTCAAGCCGTGTTAATCTAGCCCACAATTAGAGAAAGGTTATCGACCCCTGCTCTAATAGATGGATGGAGCTGTTGAAGTTCTAATTTTATTGGGTTACTCTTACTTGTAAATTTACTTCATTTTATGTTCATTTTTAAATAAGTATACATACTAGCAATGGTAAATGCATTGGCAGAATAACTGATCCTTGCAGTTAGAGCTGCCAAAGGGGGAAGGGGAAGGATTTGCAGGTCTGGACCCCTGCCTCCTAAAAAGCAAACCTCAGATGCTCAGTGTATCTCCTCCCTTTTAGTTGTGCATTCCAAAATGGGATGCATTTTCTCTAACATATTTCAGAGACCAACTGCTCATTGGGGGCTCTATCCCTTGAATCCACTAGGGATGGTCACTGATAGCAATGCTGACTTCAGGTTAATTGAATAACACCAGATAAAGCACTTTATATTTATATATATTTATTAATATCTGATGAGTACCTCTTCCTCTGGATTTCAAATGATACATGTTATGTGATTATTGGGCATTTTGATAGATGATGATTTAAACAATTTGGAACAAGTATTTACTCTGGAGTGGATATTCTCTAGATTCAATGGCATTTTGAAATATAGCAGCTGACACTAATTATGGCATACAGCAACATGCTTATGTGCACAGAGACTTTCAGATGCATATCTAGTCTGTTCCTCATTACTTTCCATGCCTGAGAAGGAGTTGGCTGACCAATGGAAACATTGAAGAAATTTATTCTAGTATGGAAAGATTCTTTTGAACAACTGATACCTCCAGATTGAAGTAAAAAAGAAAGGTGTCAAAAAAATATTGCAGGGATTTGTCTATTGAATAACTTTTAACATATTTGTAATATTATTTCTCATTTTTGGAGGTTGTAGAGTGGACCTTGGAGTTTTATTACACATTTTTGGACAGTTAAACATGCAATTGTAGTGCTTTGCTTTCTTAACAGACACTCTATTTTTGATGCTAAGTGTGCCCACCATAGACAGTTTGGTGTTCATGAAGCACCTTCTGAACATGTTTTTGTCAGTGTGTTGCACATTTTTGTGCCAATGGTGGTGTTGCTGATCAACCATGATTTGGACGACCTCAGCAGTCTAAGTTTTCAACATGTAGAGACTGTTCACTAGGCAATTCCAGGAAATAAGTGTATTGTCTATCTCAAGAGTTGGGAATACAATACAGGGTGGTGCAAAAGTCGTGCACCATAGGGGAAATTACAGTTAATTTCTGAATCGTTTGCCATTACCTTGAAAACACTTCGATTCACTGCACACATGTTTGAACTTTTCTTAACCCCACCCTTTCTTTTTCTTTAATTTTGCAGCCATCACTTACCTGCAAAGAAATAAACAGGAATTAAGGAGGAACAGTGAAATCTTCTTTGGTATGCGACTTTTGCGCCACCCTGTATAATAAAATTCTGAAAATTCTAGCATAATAATAATAAACTAATCATGGCACGCCATGACATAAGCTCTGAGCCCTCAATACAGGGTTTCAATATAGTAGATTGGGTATCATAGGCTCTGCCACTACTCATCTTTCCTTCTCAAGTGAAATGAACTTGCCTGACATGTAAAAGACTGCTCCTTTTGGTGTCATATAACCGATATCTTAATGATTAAGGTACTGTATTCACAGAGTGCTTTAACACTTATTACTTATTTCTGGTCTTGATATAGCAACATTTAAAGATTGCAGGGAAGCAGTGGCTTTCCTTTCTTTCCTTAGAATATATTGCAGTCAGCCAAACTTGCTCCAGTCCAGGTAGAGTCTTGAAATAAATTTGACTGCAATACTCAAGAGTAACAGTCTAGTCTTCATCCCCCAAAGAGAAATAAAATTTGGAAATGATTAAACTTGCTGTTATACAGCTATTTTTGCTTAATTCTCTCATGAATCATAGCAAGCCTACTGTAACATATATTGTAAGGCTAATATTAACTCATCATTCATAAAAATGATTGCATGTGCTATAAATTTCACATTGAGAGAATCATGTTATGGTCCCTAAACATTTCAGAGTGAAGACCAGAGATACTTGTGTCAACCTATAATGGACTACATTTAAGGAATTTCACAGTGCAAAGTCACATGAAGACAGAAAGAATTCTTCTGGCTGCATGACTAGTAAATAATAGAACATAAGGTCACATGATGTGGTTTGTTCAGCAAGATTTTCTCCCATTTCCTTCACTTCTAACTTATTTTACTTTGTCAATACTCAATAGCACTAGTTCCGTCTGGATGCAGCATATGAACCTGGGGTCATGTATCTCTCATCTTATCTTTGAGATCATTCTCAAGTTGGCAAACATCACCTCTGAACTAGCAGGTGCTAATAGGAATGGACATAATGACAGAGAGAGACTGCTGGAAGCCATGCATGATTATGCAAAAGAAGTAATGATTTTCTTTCCAATAAAATCAACATTTTGAGCAGGGTCTCTTAAAAAGTATCAAGGCTTTGATTTTCCAGAACATCTTGAAATAGGTTCATCATTCTCTGTCTGTATTTTGTCTTTTTCATGCAGTCTCATAATAAGTGTGTCACCTTGAGAACATGAATTCTTTGTTGTTTCTGGAAAAGGCAGGAGTGTGACAAAGTGTAGGACCAATCTAATATAGTTCCAGAACAGATGCATACCTCCTTGTAAATAATATTCTTACAGTATCAGCCAAAATTAAAATACATGAAACCTAGATTTGGGCTTTAATACAATTTCAGTGAGCCTAAATCAATTCAAAACTCACCCATGGAGATCATTCTCCTCTCCCTCTTCCTCATCTTCACCTTCTTTGCTGCTGGTGTTCCCTCCGTCAGATTCAAACTTCTGTTCTCCACCATAGTCAATTTCAAAACTAGACACAAAACCATCATGGATTCAACACCTGACCAGTATGGGGTATGACTGAGAAGGTAGGCCTACTAGACAAATTAAATTACATCCCATAGGCAAACTGACTGCCCCCTAAGGACATGCAGGGCACCTGCAGTGTCATGTCCAGTCAGGAGGGTGACTGATATGCAGCTGCATGCTGCAACCCACTGATTGATCTCCACCATCTCCCTGAGGTGGGGGCTGGGCAGGAAGTCTTATCAATATGTATGCATCCCTTCCCACATGCTATTTCCCTCAATTAGAATTTAGGCTTTAATTGCATTCTATTTGCACTACAGTGTTATCGAAGAGTGGCCTCTCAATCTTCTACTCATAATTCATTCTGTTCATCACAGCCTTCAAAGCTGCAGCTGGTTTCTCATCAAAGTAGATGAGATGCTGGTTTCTCACATTAAAATAGTAGCACACAAATCTTGCAGCCCTCAATAAGACTGTGTTCAAATGTCCTTGCCTTGTAGGACCTACTGTCAGGATATTGCCTTGGCCCATCCTTCATTTAAAAGGTATGAAGGAATTCATGGTAATAAGATATATTTATATGGCATGGATTGCAAAGCACATGGGTTATAGTCATCTGGTGGCTACTTCACATGAGTCAGTCACATGGAAGAACCAGTCCAGATTTATTTTTTTGTTCTGGAGATTTCACTACTAGTCATCCATGTTGATATTTTTCTATAAAACCAGAGGGGAGCGAAGTTAGGCCATGAGGGAAGTGACATCTCATATCTTCCCTCCCCACTGACTTAAGACTTCTGTACCTACAGCTCTACCATAGCCATACCTGTGCCCATTGGGTATAGGGTTGGAGGATGTCATTCCTGGAAGATGATGGAGAACAACAGGCTTCTGAGGTTCAGGAAGACCACTAGGAATATTGTTGTCATCAATCAGTGACAGAGGTTCTTCCTCCTCCTAGAAGAACCAACATCAAGAACCACAGGTCATATTCATCCTAAATATGGAGTACATGAAATCTTTTCCCATTAAGACTCCCTTAATGTGATGTTATTGGCCAAAAGAAAAATCCTTCACTCATACAGATTTGCCAATGTTTCCTGAAATTTAAGTTACAGGTAAACCATTCCTCTTGAACCATCACACCATCAAGTCACCATGCAAAAACCTTGGTCAAGAAGCTTGTTTCTCCCAAAGCAATAATGATCAATAGTCATGCCATTTTGTCCATGAGGGACTTCATGTGCATGTCCAGACCTACAGGCCAGTATAGCCTGTTGGACCTGTACCTACTCACAGTTTGATATTCATGCAATCCTGGTTGTGCAAGTGCATCATTGTTGGCCTGTCCTGCAAACATGGGGCACCAAAACTGCTAGGCTAAATTGTATGCCTGCTTTGCATGGAGCCCTGGCCAATATACAAGTCAGGCCCATATGGTAGGTCTACACCTTGAGTCCAGTTTGATGGAGCCTTGGATCACATGTATGCCACACACCCGAGACCAAACCAAGGCTGAATCACAGAAAGTTTAAACTATATTGCAGAAAAAATGCAATTCCACACACGCCTTAGATATGTCAAGGTTAGACCGAAGTAGAATTTAATTACTAAGTCCTGTCAGATAGACTCAGGTTTAGGTCATGCTAACACAGCACAGACACAGTCAGGTCCCAGAACTTTCCTTTCTTCTTCCTTCTTAGACAATGAACTCCTGGGCACGCCGAGCGGTGAATGGCACCAGACTCTGGAGTTAGCAAAGCCACAACCAAATCTAACTGTTGTAAACATACTTCATTGATCAAGCGAAAACAGCTAGACATTACTCATGCCATCTTATCTCCCTCGGGGCACGCCTTCCGGGCTATCATACCTGGGAGGTGGATCATCGTGGAATGAGACCGTTAACGTCAGAGCTAGTAATTTTTTAGCCTTATAATTGGGTGGAATTTCTCCTGGAATATTCTCTTGAAATCCAGAGGAAGACTAACACCACTCGGAGAAGTGAATCCTTTTCCCATCATACATGGGTAACCTCACCCGTCTCTGTGACGAATTCCAAGCCTCCTGTTGTCGAGAATCGCTGTGACTTAAGGCGACACTGGAGCTGGACGGATCGTGGTTTCCTACGCCCCCTTTTTCACGCCTACTTTCCCATGACAACTTTCCCCTCGAAGTGCGGGAGGGGAGGAAGAGAGAGGCAGCGCAGCAGGCAGAGCCGCAGGGTAGATGGTTTCAGGTGAACATGCACGCGGCACGCCCTTTCCCCATCCCTTCCCCTGCACTCGAGGCGCATGTGATACACGGTAAGAGTAGGAATGTGTGGAAGCATGTGAAAGGAGAGATGGGAAGGTGAGAGAAGGCATGGCAGCCTCGTTCCCCGCGTTCCACCAGCTGGCTGTTGCCGTGCCTCATTCCCTGTGTAGGTAGTACAGTACTTGGATTTTTATGTCGCAAGAAGCCCGACACCCGAGCAACTACTGTAATGTAAAGAACTTGTAACAGTAGGACATTCGTGTGATTTTGGGTTGGATTACGAACATTAAAAAGTTTACACAGCGAAAGTTATTCGCGTGAGAGGTACTTTCCACAGACCGATTATCTCGGTGGGAAAGTTGCCAAGACACTGAAAAATAAAGAGTTCCTTCATTTTCATGCGAGAGTGGAAGAATACTTGGTGCCGCTCTCACGCGAGTTGCTTTGAACCTGTGTAAGTTCACCCATAGTCTCACACCTGTGCGGGCCAAATGAGATCTTGCAAATTCTCGAGTAAAAATGCATCAGAGATCCCGTTTTCCGATTATTACAGTGCCCTTCCAAGATGGCGTGAGTGTTCCCACGAGTCCCTTGAACTCTGCCTGAGACACACATCGACCTGAAGACCTCTGCCCTGATGGTAGCGACACCTGCTCGGGTTTAAAACCTGACGGACAGCAGCACGCTGTCGTATATGAATTGCATCTTAGCTTTTTACTTCTGACGTTGCCCTTTTACGTATATCGGGCACGGCGCCCACTTCTAAAAACCTGGAATGAACCACCTGAACCAGTGGCGTAGCAAGGGGTTCAATCCCCCAACTCCTGGCTAAATGCATCCGCCCCCGTTCTTCTTAGCCCCCCCCCCCCCAATGGTGAAATCCTGGCTACTCCACTGGCCTGAACCCAGCTTCCGATAGTCGGTAGTGAAGAATCCAGTATAGAGTTCCTTTCCACCCCTCAGGTAGAACCATGAACCACTAACCACTAACCACTAACAAGAGCCAGCCTTACTTAGTTGCTTAACCCTTTCAGATCTGAATTAAGGCCACTTTCGGAATAATATCTTTTTTTGCATTTTTGAGCTCTTTCGCTATTGTAATTTAAATTTTTATGTTTTATATATCGTTTTTATATTTTGTATAAATTCATCACATCATACCATATATAATATATATTTAATTACATAATTAAAATTACAAAACTGACGGGTGTAAGAAGGCATCCGATGGAATTGAGTCATGCATAATCGCGCCCATTGTAGTGTAATATGGGGCGTAAAGTCACGAGAATCTCAAGAAATTACCATAGACGCAATGAAAATGCAATGTCTATTGGAATGAACGCCAGGTCTGAAAGGGTTAAATGCTCGCACTTGCCCTCGGTGGTTCAAGCGTCCACATTGCGAAGATGACTCCAGTGATTCCCGATGACAGAAGGTCGTAGTATCTCGGGTCTAACCATGATACAGGGCCTTCTTACTCCGTCAAGAGGAACTAAAACAAGTATGGCGAGTTCGACTGAAGAGCTCTTTACTGGATCCGTCGCCGCGAAGGATAAACAGGACCACGATGGCCATCGTGCTTTCGGAGTGACTATTGATCATGTTACTACCGAGGCTGGGCAATGATCAGTTGCTCTGGCCATCCCATCATGGCCACCATTTCATAAATTGCTCTGTCCACCACATCATGGCCTCCAGATGATCGGTTGCTCTGTAATAATTTGGTTGGTAACCGCAAGTACGAGTATAGTCTTTCGGGAAAGCGAAGAAGCAAGTAATAGGGAAGAGAAAAGTGCAGAATGAGAGTCTGCCAATGTAATAAGCTAACCTTGTTGGGTTTTTTTAAATTTTTTTATGAATGAGAATACGTTTCACAGGACGAACGAAGGACCCTGAGCGAGGATTCCGTAAGCAGGATGACAGGAAAGGCCTGAAACATTTCTTTTTTAGAATTTTCAGCTGCAGTCAAAAACAGATGATAAAATGAGGCTATTACCATTCTTAGAACAGATGTCGACCAGTTGATTCCATAAAAAGAAAGGAATGAACTGAATGCTCTGAATTGAGGATGAGAAATTTGATAAAGGATAGGGGAATTTAGCATGGAAAAAAGCTAACGGGCGTTTTTTAAATCGGTTCGATCAAAGTTCGTTATGATTGGCCCCAGCTTTAATGGAGGCTTCACCGAGTGTTCGGTTCTGAATTTGATCCACAGGGTTATATGCAGTGGTCTCATTTGAAACAAGGGAAATAAAAAGGATCAGGAGCGCAGCCTTGAGGAGCACTAACTGCTACTTCGATTTACAGGTCTTTTGTGATAAAAATGTTCCCAATGATGCACTCACCGGTTTCAGAGATAATGTTGCGAGATCTCACTAAACCAAAATGCTCAAGTTCCTGTATCAATACGAAGGGCATTCAATAAATGCTGTCAACTAGCTTCCCTTCTCGGATGTTAAAGAGAATAACGGTTGCCTTTATGTTGTCCCTACGGTGAATTGAGGTTATAGTCTAACTTTCCTGCCGGGGTTCACAGCACAGGCTTGTCAGTGGCGTGGCGAGGGGAGAGTGGGGCTTCAGCCCTCCCAAGTTTGGTTCAAGCCCCCCCAACTCCGGTCTAAATGCATGCCCCCCCCCCCAACTCCCCCGACGAGAAGTAAGGGAATTTCTAGCCCCCCCCCACCGTTCCGCTCAGCCGAAATCCTGGCGAAATCCTAGCTACACCACTAAGGCTTGCATTCCTCATATTCGACAAGATCTTGAAAATCTTATACCAAGAACACCCTCTAAATTATGTGATTTCTCTGAGAAGGATCAACATCTTATGGGTAACGGATCCGAGGAGGCTCGTGTTATCTATGAAAATGTGAGAGGAAAGAGTGCCCTTCAATGGTGAGAAGAACCACAGGTCCAGCGCGAGGGAGCGAGGTTCCATCCTCTCTCCCACCATTGCATTCATTCACTCACTTGCGAACTTATCAGTAATGAAGAGGACTGTCCCTACAAACCACTTTAGTGTTATCGGGAATCTCCTCGAGTGTGTTTCCCCTCAAATTCTTATTTGCGCGAGAAAAATCTCAAAATCGAGGCGGTGTTGGGTGCATGACGTTGTCAGAACACCGTCCAAAATAATCCTATCGCGCATCACGTCCGCTGGAGAGGACGACTACGATTTGTTGGCTACTCAGCCACGGTACACATACGTCTCGAAACTTCTGGGGCATGCAGTTTACTCCAATGGGCATCATCTATTCAGTGTTGCCACCAAGCGGTGGAATATGCGACTACTACGGCAGATTACCACATTAAACATTAAACCAACGAAAACCTGTTTTTGTTTTATAAATTCTTGCACGAGAGGGATAAACATCTCAAACCTGTATTATGAACCTTGGCAATATATAATCAGACTATAACTCCCATTCTTCATATAGGCAACCACGTTGCGATATTCTCTAACACTTCCGAAAATAGAAGCCAGTGATATCATATATTGACTGTCGAGATAACTTTTTGATCATAGAGATGGCAATTACATAAAGAAGATAGACTGGCGTCTGCTCTTAATTCGACCGCCTTCCGGGACCATTTCTTCTCTGAAGTCGATGCCCCTATAGATGAGAGTGAGGAGGCGGGAACGATGGATCTGGTGAGAAAATAGGCTGAAAAAAAGCTTCAGGAATTCTCATGTTTGTGTCAACGATTAAGACTTATGTTTCCCTTTTGTTTGCGAGAAAGGCATTGAGATTTTTTCCAAAAACCACAATTCTCCGTCCTTGATTTCCCTCTGTAATTAGGCTTTCTCGACGTATCAAAACGAACGGCCGTAGCGAGACCCAAAGAGATCGAAGCCTCGAATGGCATTGGCGGCTCGACCATTCGTTTCCTCTAGGTGAGTACTGCCTGAGGCCCACCGCACACTGGCGAAACATTCTCGCAAAACGTGCGCTATACATATACATGCACGGTACATGCTTCATTGGATGGAACACATTGCAAGCAATTGGGCGCCACACACTGGCGAACCGTGCTTCAGCTCATTCAATTCCTTTTGTTCCATGCAACGAAGCGTGTATGATACACGCTTCACGAAAGCGTTTC